ACGTTCCTGGAGTGTTTTTTTTGATATTTCTTGAGAAAATTTATATTTATAATCGTTAGCATCATCATCAAACCCAAATACACACAGAGAATGAAGAGTACAACCACCGATATTTGAAGTGGCAACACCAGTCGGCGCACAAATAGCAAGAGAATGATTTTGATCTATTAGATCGAAGTATTCTTTAATAGCCTCGATAACTTTTGATTTCCCGTGCCTCCGGCACCACCTAAATACATTAATAATTGAGGTAGTTTATTAGGATTACCGGGGTAGGTTTGTTCGCGGTGATTACAGACAAGCATGAAAGCCTTTTTTTGTTCATTGTTCAGATTAGCTGAAATTTTTTGAATTTTGGATTGCAGAATAGTTGGTTTTTTTTTATTAGACGTATAAGTACAAGGTTTCGAGTAATGGTTTTCTTCAGAACTTATATTTGTATCTATTTGTTCCATTTTTTTTCTCGACGCTATTGTTTTTTGCCATGTTTTAATTAAGTTACTATCATTTTCACAAGAAGGTCGTATATGTTCTTCATCATAATTCATAGTATCAAATTTTCTTTGAAAGTTCAGTTGTCCTTCTTTCTTATCATTAAACTTGTCTTTTAAATATAAATGAAACATGGCGTCATCAACAAATTTTGTATTATGTAGTCCAGAATGCATGATTTCATATGGATTTAACAAAACTAAGTTATCAGTACCGAAATTATCTTGTTTATCCAGTATTTCTGCATCACCAGTATTGTCATAACCCGGCACAGATCTTTCTATTCGTTGGATTTTGGCAATCTCCGGGTTTTTTGTAGGCCATTTGGCGTAATTGACGATCTAAAATAGTTTCTTCCATGCATCGATGTAATAGTTCAATGTTATCAATTACAAATCGTAACCGTGCGGATAAGTCTGGGCTTTGTAAGAAAGCGTCACAGGCATCACGCCACGAGTTGTATATAGTTATCAGATCACTTACAGTAGTCCATGGTTTAAACAACAGAAGGATACAGAGTCCGTATCTTTCTGCATTTTTTAAATCATTTTTACGTGGTATACTTTTTCCACACAATACAGGTATTCTTTCATTTTCACGAGTCCAATGGACTTGTATATGTGTTGCGTGTTGTGGATGTATCATACTATGATCGCAAGTTTCATCGCACTTTTTTTTTCCACCTAAAAATAAGAATCGATCTACCCTCGTCGTATGTCCTTCACGATTTTTTTGTCTATTTAGCTTGTCCAATTCATTACTATTAATTTTTATTTTATGAATTGTTGCTATATAGTCATATAGACATATATTTTTTAATTGCTCACCACGATACTTATAGTCTACTCGTAAATTTACCGCATTTATTTGTTTACCTGAGTTTACCATTATAAACATTTCATCATTAGCAAGA